GTTGTGGGAGACTGTAAGAAATGATGAGGTACACAGGAACAGGCAGTTAGGCTAAAATTCATTTGTCAACAAATCAGTTTGAAACCAAGGACTTTATTGGCAAGTACAGATTTTAAAGAACTGAGGAGTCAGTTTCATACTTTGTGCCTTGCTAACACAAAAAGCATGAATGTGATATACCAGACTACTTTTTTACCATTTATCTTTATTTTCAGATAATAATACAGAAAAGATGGGAGACAAAGGATATAAAACAACCTTCACTGCCCGCCCACCCCCAGCCGAAGTACCATACTGCTCATGTAAAATGCCACCAGCCCTTTCCTTTCTAATTCGACATGTGTGCATTACGTTAAATCTACATGTCGTGTCTTGTTTCCACATGAAATCTGTGTTCTGCAGAATGCAAATAAAATCAGTACTGTTAGGCTGCAATCCTATAATTTCTTACCTGGGAGTAACCCTCAACAAATTCAGCGGGAATTACTTTGGGGTAGACCTGAATAGAATTCTGCTGTTGGAGTTGTACTCCAAACCACAAAGATGCTACATTTTTATAGAATCATTGAGTTGGAAGGGATCACAAGGGTCATCTAGTCCAACCCACTGCAACGCAGGATACCACATTTTGCCCAATGCGGGGAATTTTATGTTAATTTTTTAATTTTTTAATTTTAGCTCCATCAAAATTGCAATTAAATAAATGTTGATATTTACTTGATATAATAGAGGTGGGAAGAAACATTTCTTATTCTGTTAAAGTAGTCAACAGTTTATTCTTGACATCCCATTATTTGTTTACATGTTCATGGTTTTTTCAGTGTTTGTTGCATTTCAGAATGCAAAAGTTTTGTTGAACTACCAACTTGATTCTTCCCATACAACAATGAAGACATTTGTTTTGCCGCAGGAAATTCTCAACCTCTCTGTGCTTCTCTAAGAAGGAAAACATTGCTTTAGCAGAACTTTGGAAGGGCAGTATTTAGATACAATGGTGTGGTACAGTCACAAAAGCAGAAAACTTTTACCAAAGGAGTGGGGAAATAATATAATAATTTCAATACCAAGGACAGAATTTAAAATCTTGTTGTACAAAATCTAGGATACTAAAAATGTAAATCCAATTAGTTAAATTATTCCTTTATGCAAATGCTTCTATGTGCAAAGGAGCATTTTGAGGTGAGGGAAGATGTTTGCCTTTTATAATATTCTAAAAATACGGCTTCCCTAATGAGTTCATTTGCATGACAAATTGACTCTGCATTTCCAGAAACATCTTTTAAACACTTAGAGGTATTATCCTATATGCAGATGAATAACACCCACTAAAGTTTGTGCTTATGACAGCTTCATTTCATTTTTGCTGGCATATGCTTTTAAGCAGAAGATAAGAATCTCTGCTATTCTCTGGTGTGGATTCATTCTCTCCATATTAATGAACTGAAAGCTGCAGGTTATAAAGCAGTGTATGGTAAGACGTTAATGAATGTGCTACACTTATTTCTGGGAAGATTTAGACTATGGTAGGATTAAGAGTAGCAGTTCCTAGTTTGCCATTTTATGGCCAGCTTTAAAGATCTCAGCATGAACACATAAACCATAAATAAGCAAATGGACAAAAATAAATGCACAATCGTCATAAGTTTTTAAACTATTGTATACACCTGCCTTAAAATATTATGAAGTCAGATATCCTTCAGTTCATCATGATTACTGAATATTATAACTTTAATATCATTACTATTGAATACAGCAAAAGTTTGGTACATACAGTATGTATGAGCAATGCTGAGGAATCACAGCCTATCTCCAAGTAGGTAGCAAGCTTGTTTCTTCCTGCTCCATAGGGTAGGACCCAAACCTATAGATTCAAGTTACAAGAAAGGAGATTCTGACTAAACATCAGGAACAACTTTCTGGTGGTAAGAGCCATTCAGCAGTGGAACGGACTCACTCGGGAGGTGGTGGGCTCTCCTTCCTTGGAAGATTTTAAGCAGAGGTTGCATGGGCCATCTGTCATGCATGTTTTAGCTGAGATTCCTGCATTGTAGGGTTGGACTAGATAGCCCTCCTTTGCATCCTACTTGAGTGTTTCTAGCCAGGCTGGACTGTGTCCTTGAACTCTAATAATGCCTCTTGGTTGCCTGGATGAAGGATAGAGGGTTGTGAGAATGTCTGTAGAAAGTAGCCTACAGGTTTTTTTTTTAAAAAAAAAGGTTTAAAACTGCATTTTCCCCCTGCCTACTTTTGCTTCTGGTGTTCCTCACCACCAGCATGTGGCCCCCATCAGGATGGAATGTAGCTCTCAGGCTCAAAAAGATTCCCCTGTTCTATCCCATCACAGTTCCTTTCTGTTAATTTCCTTGTTTTGCCTTTCATTTTATGTAGCATCAGAAGAATGGGAAGGGGCAGTATCTTAAAGGATAAAAATCAACGGTTGGGTTGTTGTTTTTCAATCTCTCCCCACCCACTCACCCAGCTGTATGAGAAGAAAAATTAGTAGACTACTGCCGTGTGTGTGTGTGTGTGTGTGTGTGTGTGTGTGTCCAACTAGAGGCAGAATGTATTTACTTTCACATGCTTTTCTGAACAGCAGCTGAACTGGTCTGTTATACTTGGCTCACATCACAAAGCCTAGAACTGGTGCAGTTGCATTGCAAAGGCTAAGCTTTATGACCAATTCTGTTCCAGCCTTACATCAAACATAGATAAGAAAAATAAGTTCTTTTTACATGATCATTCAAATACAACATGATGCTTTTCAAAAGGATTTCAAAATATGAAATATGAATCTAAGAAGTATTCACATAAGTCCATTCCAATGTATTCAAGTATCCAAGTATTCCAATGTCCATTCATCACTCTCTACGTGTCTGCAGCATCAATAATTGGCTTTCATGTATGAAATGGCCACCATAGATCAAATATACATCACATTCCAAACACTACCTTTCAATGAAGTCGTTTTGTGCATCCTGCTGCTACTCATCAAGCATTGAGTCATTAAAAAAATCAAGTGATATGTATAAATGGGAATGGGAGAGGAGTTTGAAAGTGCTGTCATTTCAACATGGAAGCTGTATACATTCCAGAAGAACCTGGCCCTCTTTACTGTAGTCAAAAGAAAGGAGTGATAAAAAGTTTAGGAACATTTGTTGTGAAAATTTTCAGTACTTCATCTCAGATTTCAGACTGCATTAAACTCTAATACCCCCTGGTGGCAACTACTAAGCACAGCAAAACCAAACCGAATCAAGGTTCTCTAATCCCACCGCATCCAAAAAAAAAAAAAAAAAAGGCAAAACGATTTTTAAAAACCCAGTTGTTTGGATGGTAAACATTTCCATCAACCCTCCACTGACCAATAAATCCTTCCAGGATACCTTTCCTTCTGAAGGAACCCTTACATGCCTGCACAATACACAATACTGTATACAGTATCAGCTGGTGACTGTGCTCGTTGAGTTTCATATGGTAAATCAGGACCTGGTGCCTTCAAAGGACATCATAGCACAAGTAACTAAGAATAACTAAGAGTCCTGTTGCTCCTTGATACATCAGTCTCGTCTATATGCTATCTGTCTCGCTGGGCAAAAATGCAGGGACCCTAATATTTCCTCTCTTCCTTCTCCCAAAATGGGAGAAAAGGCATTTCTAACTTGCCAGCTGTCCTTCAGTTGGAACTGTGAATTAATTCTTAGGGGAACAGAAGGAAAATTCCTACTCATGGTGAATCCCACACAGTCACAGATGCTGGGCAACACACCATTTCCATCCATCTTCCCACCAAAGAGACGGACATTAGACAATGTGGCAGAATTCACTGGTTACAATGGGCAGTTCTTGCCACCATGTCAATGAGCCCCTCTACCACTTTCCCACAAAGAACAGCGCAGGTGTTCCTGTAAACTCTCCAGCATTATTTCTGGGGTCAGAAAGGTATGGATCCTACGAAACCAATCTGTGCATTTGTATTAATAAACTGGTGCTGGCACCAGGGCCAACTGTCTCATGAAAAATCAATGCTCATTCGTATCTATATTGGTTTTATGTTTTTTGCTCTTAAGAAAAAGCTTTTTAAGTTGTTCGTAAATGGTCTGGCGTTAAGGATGAGCAGTGGTGAATTTCATAAATGATGCCAAATTATGTGAAGAAAGTAGGTAGAAGTGTTTTCTTTCACATACAAATTACTAGACTTCATGGTCATCCAATGAAACTGATTGGCTAGAAGTCAGGCCAGACAGTACAGCTTCATGCAACACTTGTTGTTGTTGAAATTTCTATACCACAGCAATTTCCAGGCCCTTGGTCCAACTGATGTCAGAGGGAGCAGTACAGGGTACAAAGTCATCCTAGTGCCCCAAATGCCCCTAAACCAAGAAGATGTGCTTAGATCAGCTCAGGGGCTGATCTATTTCTCTCCTGTTAAATGTTTTCAAAGAAGAAACCAGCAAAATGGACAGAGGAATGCAAGAACACCTTCATTTCTGCCTTGCCAGGATGAGCCCAACAGGGCACTGGATGCATGTTTAAACTGCCTTGGAACTAACTGCACCCTTAAGGAATACAATATTGTAATATAATGAATATTTTGAAAATATTCTGAATATTTTGAAAAGTTGCATGAAACTGCATACAGGGGAAAGTATGCATCTGTCAAATGGAGCAATGAGTTGCTCCTTTAAAAGCACTAGAACTTTGGGGCTTCATAACCCACTTTAGAAGATAGAATTTCAACAGGTAATCATTGCATCTTCATGCCAGAAACATGCAGCTGGCAACATGCAGCTGGAAAACAGCACTGGAGGTCTGCCAGGGGAAAACCTGGCAACACTATTGGGTTGGGAATCCTTGCCTAGCTCCAACATGATGCATCCCTATGTGACCGTAAAAGATATGGAAGTTGTGGAAGGAATTTAAATAAAGGCGGTATTTTTACAAACCTGCCTCATGTCTATGCTTCCTACTTTTTTAATACTTGGTTTCTTTATTTTGTGTTTCCTATAAATTATAAAATATCATTTAAAAAAATTATTGCTAACCACAAGTAGGTGCATGTTTCTTTTGAAAGCTGATTTACATTGATTATTGTTCAGAGAGTGGTCAACAGGCATGCAACACAGAACTATATCTGAAACAGAGCAAACATGGTCCTGTAAATTGCCTGGCTGTAGACCACCTAGGAGTCATATGCAAATCCCTCTAAACTCTTCAAAACAGAAAAATGGTTATGGTTAAGTAAGCATGAGCATTCCTCAATCCATGCTGGTCTTCATTCATGTTTTTGGCTAGTACAGTGGTACCTCAAGTTACAAATGCCTCAGGTTACAAACACTTCAGGTTACAAACTACACTAACCTAGAAGAGTTACCTCAAGTTGAGAACTTTGCCCCAGGATGAGAATGGAAATTGTGTGCAGCGGCAGCAAGAGGCCCCATTAGCGAAAGCACGCCTCTAGTTAAGAACAGTTTCAGGTTAAGAACAGACCTCCAGAACGAATTAAGTTCGTAACTAGAGTTACCACTGTATGTGTTATGGTCTGGTTGGACGGGGAGGAATAGTGGGAGGACTAGCTGGGGAACCCCCAGGGGTAGAAGGCTGAGAGCCAGGTGATGGAACAACTTTAACTGGTCAGAGGAAGAAGAAAAAGAAGACTGAGAGGAGGAGGTATTGGAAGCTTAAGGGGTAACAAGGCTTAGGGAGCAGAGGGAGTCTGTGGTGGAGAGAAGTCCAGAATCAAAGGTAGAAACTGAAACAGAAGAGGAAGGAAGAGTGCAGCTGCTGAAGAGGCGTGGGTGTTTTTGCTGCGACAAGCTCCCCTTCCCCCCTGGTGTCCCAGATCCAGGAAAGGCATGAAGAGGGCGGAGAAATTAGCTTCACACAGGCATGCCGCAGTCTCAGATTGCTGGGGGGGGGGGGGAACCCTGGAGAAGGAACTTAGGCAGATGTGGGGAGGCAGGGTCTCAGCAACTTTATCATGGGGGCAAGACCTGCCGGACACAAGTTGCTGTGCTCACTAGGCCTGACACTCCTGTACAGATCCTGTTTTTGCCAGTAAAGTATTCACTCCAATGTGTGTGGTGTTATGTACCGGCTCCTGTCAGTTTATTCCATTCCACTGCAATTCGTTTTACACAAGTCTACTTTCCCCCCATTTTTTTCATCCACTGAAGTGCAACTATGGCAAAAAGAATTCATGGGAAGTATCTGTGCCATGATGGGGGTTGAACAGGAAGGGAGAAGAAAATCCGACAGCACTAGTTGTGGAATAATAATGGATAGTGGGCAAAGCAGAGATATGGGAATATATTACTTGTGTGAAATAAAGTGGGGATTATTAGAGGCTACACTGAGTTGAATGTAAGTAGTGTGACTATCAGATACTGTTTTCAAGTGTCTTGGGTTAAAAAAACAACAACAGCACTGTGGTTGGCCCAGGCTTGAGTATAACCAAGGTCTTTACCATCCTAAAAACTGTAATTATATTAATGATTGCTAATTCTTGTGAAATGAGCCAAGAAGCCATGCATATTTTATAACTACACCTGCAGATTGCTTCCAGCTCTGGCACTGCATATTCTAATTTCTTGGTTCACAGCCTTATTCCCCAATGGTGTTGGAGCAGTTAATTTATTCAATAATTTATTAGCCTCAAAATATTTACAGCTATTAGATAATATGTGTAGTAGGTTCCTAAATAGTTTTTTATATATATAAGTATATTTATGTATGCTATCCTAACATGAAGAAACCAGCGGATTTGAACAACTGGAAAGTTCCAATGAGGGGGTAATAATTCAGTGTAGTTTTTCAGTGCATGAAAACCGTTATCACACATTGCTGTTGGAGAGAGGATCCTGGTTTGTGTAGACCACTAATTGAATCAGGAGGCCAGTTGTTATACACTGCTTGCTTCTAACCGATTTTTTTTTTCTCTCAGAGGCAGCAAACTGTCTGAGATTATAAAATCTACATTAGCACCTTATATCAATTATTCAATCTCATGCTCCACTGACGCCTATCCAGTGAGTGGGCAGGGATTTGTGCTTTCCGGGACTGTTTACTTATTTGCTGCAGGGATCCTTCCCACAGGTTTTGGCAATGTTTTATTAAAAAATAATGCTGTTGATTTGTGCTTTTTGCATGTTTGCTGTGGTGGGAAAACTGTGTCTGTGCTGCAAGAATGCCCTGGAAAAAGAGGAAGGTCTGGAATCTCGCACCGCTTGAAGTGATATGCAACAATATTTTATTTTATTACGTTTCATTTTTTTATATGTTTTTAAGTTTTAAATATGATTTTATTTTATTTCTCCTCCATTGGGAGGAAGGGCAAGATATACATAAATTTGATAAATAAAGTAAATTTTGCATCAAATTTTAATTGTCTAGAAAATTCATTGCTAAAATAGCATTGCTTTGGTAAACTTTTCAAGAGAAGCACAAGCAAATGTAACTCAATATATTTTTAGTTTGTGTATTTTAGAAGAATGTAAAAGTCACCCACTCTGGGCTTTCGAGGGTACAGCTTTTCAAAATCGTCAACATTATGCATTGTTCCATATTTATAAACAAAAGACTGGAAGTGCTTTACAAATTATATTTCAAAATTTTTGTTTCACTGTCATTTATTTATTTTTTTGTAAAGGCACAGTTAAAGTTTCTCAAAAAGTTTATATTAAACAATGGCACGTTCCTATTTCTGTTAGCACAATAACAAGCAAATTTCACATACCAAGCAGAGGTCTGTGTGTGTTTTAATTCCACGCCTGGATGTAATCCTCCATCCTGAGAGGAAACAAAGTGAAGGCTGCATTCTGGAATATAATTTGTAGTTTAACACTTGCCCAGAATGAATGTGCGTAAGCCTTATTTCATATAGTGATTCGCATGTGTTAATCTTGTCCACTAGCATTGTAGTGGAGCAACTAATCATCTTAACTGAAATCCCTGGCTGAAAACATATTGAATCTGCTACGTGAACAGCTTTAGAACTACACATAAACCAGGTAAGAAACAGAATAAAACACAAATCAAGTAGAAAGGAAAGGAAAGAGAGAGAGTCCTAGTTATGGAAAATAATAAACCAGACAAGTCTCTCTTTCATTGGTTATGGGGGTGGGGGGCACACAGAGGATATGATGGAGTTGCTCCTAATTATGGTCCTGCAAATTGGGATGAACCTTTACAGGCCAATATAGACACCTCAAAAGCAGTAAGCAAAAAAGGGAAAATGTTCCCACTTCATTTCTAAAAGCCCTCTGCCTTTCTTCAAGCATTGATGTCATCACACAGTCCCCATCTGGGATTTGGGGAGAATTTTGTGGCGGTCCATTCCTTAGGACCCATTTCTTAATCCCAACCAGAGTTTAATTTTATTTATTTACTTTTTTTAAAAAAACAACACCCTTTTTTGCCCATCATCACAATTAATTCCACTGTGGTTTATATGGATTTAAAATGATACAGATAAAAGAATGTGGCAGATAAATGAGCTTGACCTGACACCCATAATTTATTTTCAATAGAACGAAGAGGACTGTACATGTATGAGCAGCCTTTCAATCAGCATCCAGTTTCATTTAATTTGTTCATTCATTAATATATTTATTATCCACTTTTCATTACAGTAGCAATCCTGGAGCAGGTTACATAAAAAGTGAAAATACGACATATAAAACAGGAGGAATAAATATATCACAATTTGCAACCAGAAAAACGAAAATAATAACAGACAGACACAGGCACAGGCACTAATATCCAGTAAGCACCTGAGTGAAAAGGTGTGTCTTAAGCTGGCACCTAAAAGTTATAAAACTGTCTTATTTCAAATGGGAGCAAGATTTACCACTGAGGTACCATGACCAAAATCCTCCATCAGGTTGCTGCAAAGTGCATCTTAAATTGCTGCAGTGCCTCTAGAATGGCCTCCCCCATAGCTATTAATGTACAGGAATACTATGCCCTGGGGTATATAGGATTTTATAGGTTAGCATAAAAACCTTGAATTTGACTCAATATCAAATCAGCAGCCAGCACAATCCTTTCAAAATCAGTGTTACGTGCTCTTCATAAACTGCACCAAATGTCATAGTCATCATGTTTTTCACATGATGAAGTTTCTGAACCAGCTCCAAGGCAGCACCACTTAACACGAATTTTCAACTACAAAATCTGAGGTTATTGTTTTGTTTTAAATATATATATATAGCATTTATTATATCCTGCATTTCTGCCAAATAGTGCTCTTGGTAACTAAGAGGTATAAAATACAAATATAGTATTTAAAAAATGGCATCAAAAGAAAGAAAGCAAAACATCAATCGAAACAACCACTTAGAATCCCAGAGTAGGAGGACAGCATTTCCAAGTAGCTCTGAAGAGACTGCAGTTTGTTTGTTTTTGTTTGTTTGTTTGTTTTAAAAGTGAGCTGTAGGTTGTATGTTAGAAATACTGTTTTCTATGGTGCACAAAGACAGAAAAAAAATGTCCCTATGTTGCCTTGAAACCCTGAAAAACCTGTGAAAATAAGGTGCTCTATTATTTCTTTATTATTTTAATACCACTGTTCAATCATATTCCCAGAAACTGTTTAGAAAAACAGTGGTCAATAATGCCTCCTACAACTAAGTGAAAATATCAGACAATAACTAGTAGCTAGCATGTTTCAAATCAGCTTATTGGCCTCGTCCATATGTAACCATATTGGCATGATAAACCATGGAACAAGCCACACACCTGCAATTTCCCTTATCACCCGTCCCCTTTCCTTGCATGCCCAACTTGGGCAAAACTATCCTGCTTTCTCAAACCACAGTTTAGCAGGAGCAGAAGCTTCCAGTCTCTTCCCTACAACTACACCATACTACTGCTCATCCATAGAAACTCTCAGAAAATAAAAGTGGGAATTTCCAATAAGAAGATGAAACTGTTTGTGATTTATTACACACTTTCAACTACTTTTATATGTGCCCCTAGCAGCATATTTTTTTACATGATCATTCCTAAAGTTCTTCCCTTTTTGTGTACTTGATATATTTATGGCCTGATGCTACATGCTTTCATGAAAATGGCTACGCATTCTAAAAAAGAAAGGACAAGACTGAATCAAATTCACTTTTATCATGTTTCCATTTTAAGCTTTCCTTACCCACCCGACAATGATTACATTTTATGCACCACAAAATGCCAAGCAAACTGAACCTCTGAGCTATAAAAAATTGCTGCACTTTTTTTTTCCTCTTAAAGATTTGTTGCCAACAACAACCAAGCATCACATGAATGAAAGTCTGAATATTTTGCTCATGTGATTCTGTTTCTATGCAGGCTAAACCTCTCTTTTCTATTTTGCATGACTCCACAAGCTTTCTTGAGATTTAAGAACTAATCCTATTTCACCAAAACATTTTTGTTTGCTTCAAATCCAAACGGAGGTTCTCCCCCTCCTTAAAAAAAAAAACTTCATCAGTTAAGAGTAGCTTTGAAATTCTTTCATTCAGATTTACATGAAGACTTTTCTCATACTAATATTCCAATGTTTAAAAATCAGGCATGGTTTATTTGATAATCTTAAGCCTTTAAATCAGACAATTCTTGGTGTCTAATGAAGTTTGACTTTTCAGAAAATGTAGAGTGTGGTGTTAATGGTTACTTTTTCTATAAAGGGAAACATTTTCATTTACTAAAGCTGTCTATACTCTATGTTTGGCAATTTAGCACTCTGTACACATTCCTCTTCTTTAACGATTAAGGCTTGTGCACATAGGTCACATCCGTGATGAAAACAAAAAACTTAGATTGCCGCTTAACAAGAGGGAAATCCTTGCGTATGGATCTCCCTCTCCTGTTTCTTGCATATGCTATATATAGGTTAGAAATGTCTCTGTTCACTCCATAAAGCTTAAAGATGCAGCACTTCATCTGGTAAAAAATTAAGAAGTATTTTACAATATATATATATATATAATTCTTAACATGAATTCTAAAATTACTTCAATTAGTCTTCGTGTTTATAAACAAACCTTCACTATTTAAAATATTGAACCTATTAACCAGAGGTTCAGTCTTGAATGTGTGTACATCATGACCCTTCAACATTCCTCAGATGAAAACAGGTACAATTCTCACTTCCCCCAACTGACCCTCCTCGACCATCTATTTTTTGTCCCCTTCTCCACCACATAACATGTCCATCACCATTACACCAACAGGGAGCAGGGCACACGCACTGCACCGTCCTGAGAAAACCACTTAATCCCATTTTTATTTTACTTTATTCTTTGATAGATTTACAAAAAGAAAAACACACACCAATAAATAAATTTTAGAAAGGGGCAAGATTAGACACGGACACATACAGCATTTTTTAAAAATATAATGGAATAAAGACTCGTTGCGCTCCACTATGCTCCCCCTTTCTTCCCGCCCAGGGCTGCCTTGCCCTCTGCCTGCAGTGAATGTAATTCCTACAACTGCAGTTAGATTGCAGTGCAGAATTTCCTCACACTATTTGGGCCTGTTGCGAACTGCACAGAGGGCAAATTCACATAACTGATTCATCATACAAAAAACAGTGCAATCTGCTACATGCAAAAAGAAGTAAATGGTGGTTACTCCATAGTAACTGTGTTAAGGTAAAGGTAAAGGGACCCCTGACCATTAGGTCCAGTCGTGGCTGACTCTGGGGTTGCAGCGCTCATCTCGCTTTATTGGCCGAGGGAGCCGGCATACAGCTTCCAGGTCATGTGGCCAGCATGACTAAGCCACTTCTGGCAAACCAGAGCAGCACACAGAAACGCCGTTTACCTTCCCGCTGGAGCGGTACCTATTTATCTACTTGCACTTTGACATGCTTTCGAACTGCTAGGTTGGCAGGAGCAAGACCAAGCAACGGGAGCTCACCCCGTCACGGGGATTCGAACTGCCGACCTTCTGATCAGCAAGTTCTAGGCTCTGTGGTTTAACCCACAGCACCACCCACGTCCCTTAGTAACTGTGTTACTAGGGAGTAAATTCCATTGAATTATGTGTGATTTAGTCTACATAAATATGCATTTGGCTTGCGTCAGTCCTTGCAGCATACTAGACTTCCACTCATATACCATTTCATAAGGCTTGTATCTATTTTTGTTCAATATTTGAATTTACACGGGGTAGAATGTTTGAGGAAACAGATATTCAAATGATGCACATACACAAAATCTCTAGAAACCCCAAAAGGCTTTTTTTAGGACTCTGTAGTACAATGCTGTCCCAGAGGAGACTTCTGTATTTGGGGACAATAAACCACCTTTTCTAAAGAGGAACCTAATGAGGCCACGTATATTACATATACAGTGGTACCTCGGGTTAAGTACTTAATTCGTTCAGGAGGTCTGTTCTTAACCTGAAACTGTTCTTAACCTGAAGCACCACTTTAGCTAATGGGGCCTCCTGCTGCCACTGCGCCACCGGAGCACAATTTCTGTTCTCATCCTGAAGCAAAGTTCTTAACCCAAAGTACTATTTCTGAGTTAGCGGAGTGTGTAACCTGAAGCGTATGTAACCTGAGGTACCACTGTATTCTATCTCAGCAGATCTATTGTCATACTGTGGCATTATCCACACGTACTTTTGCCTTGCTCTTTTAAGGCACAGGTCCATGCTTAAAAGTGGGGGTTTTGTCTCAGAGCTTTCCTCACAAAAATTCACTCTTAGGTGCTCAATCAGACCAAACATCAATTCGGGTTTTCCACTGATTGCTGTTTGCTCCAAATGAACTTTAAAGAGTTGCTTTTTCATGGAAAACGTGGGGGGAGGCAGTTGGACATGGAGCTTTAAAGCACAGGTCATGTCTGAACAGAGCAGAGGAAATGTAAGTGAACAACCCCTGTTATTCACTTTCCTTTCACCAGGTGGACTGGTGGAAAAATTATTTGAGCTTATTAAAAGTATAAGTTTAGAATGTACTTGCTTCTATCCCATAATATATGAAGCTGATACAGTTAGCTTTATAATTGAATTTACACACACACACACACACACACACACACACCCTATACACTAAGGAGTAGTGGTCGCTCAGTTTAGGTATATGCAGTGTAATGTGATTCTCAACATTAAAACCTGCAATATTGTGTTGAATGAGCCAAGTGATGCTGATGCATAATAAGCTACATAACACCCTGTGCTGCAATCCAGTCTCAGACACCAACATACTGTATCAAGAGTACAATCTATACTCTGCTTACATCAATGCTTAGGGATGAAATCCTATGCACATTTACACGTGCAAGTACACCCCATTGTACACATTGAGACTGGCTTCTCAGTGAACATGCTCACGGTTGTGCTGAAAAGTTTTGCTTTAATGGCTTAACAATTATTAAAGAAACTTTGGGTGGGATTCACCTAACAAGCGCTGTCTTTGCACAATGGGACTCTTTCCCCCATTCCTTCCCCTGGGTGCCCTCGCTCCCCCCCCCCAAAGGCTATGGTGCAGACCAAACGTTAGTCATAGAGCCAATATTGTTTCAGCCATATTGTTTATCAGGGTGAAAGTATTGCTTTTCAGAAACCACCCCTCTCATCACCATTATTATGTATCTCTTTGTAGTTGTTCACAGCCATTGTTTCCCTCTCTATTTTTGATGAGCTGCTTTCTCCCTTCTCAGATGATCATAGCCAGTCAGGGAACACATAATGAATGTGATGGTGTCACCATAATATGTACCATCCCTGAAGGCAAACAAAGCCACGCAAGACCATAGTTGGCATTCTTGAGGGCAGACAAAACCAATCAAGACAAACAACAATCATCATCAACTGCCCTCAACATGAATGAGTGAACACTTTTACCCACTCCTTTTGGCACAATTCCCTCCACCTCCAATGGCGAACAAAATTGGTGCTTTTCACCACTGGTGGAGCTCAGTTTTAAATTTTACATAGGTCCGCTTGATACATTATATGAACCCACATTACCTATAATTAATACTAATGTAAAACTCATCTTTACAGAATTCCAAATACTGGCCCCTGGTGCAATCGACTCTTGCCTTATGAATATATAGCTTAACTAAACAGGACGCGGGTGGCGCTATGGGTTAAACCACAGAGCCTAGGGCTTGCCGATCAGAAGGTCGCGGTTCAAATCTGCACAATGGGGTGAGCTCCCATTGCTCGGTCCCTGCTCCTGCCAACCGAGCAGTTTGAAAGCACGAAGTGCAAGTAGATAAATAGGTACCGCTCCAGCAGGAAGGTAAACGGCGTTTCCGTGCGCTGCTCTGGTTCACCAGAAGTGGCTTAGTCATGCTGGCCACATGACCCGGAAGCTGTACGCTGGCTCCCTCGGCCAATAAAGCGAGATGAACGCTGCAACCCCAGAGTCGTCCGCGACTGGACCTAATAGTCAGGGGTCCCTTTACCTTAAACAGGAATCAGTTAATTGAAATGTGAAGAAAGGAATGCACGAGCACAAAGCTTTTCCTCATAGAGTCAAACCATGGTTTCTTATGTCTGAACCAAGCCTATAATGCATTGTGTTCTTATTTACCATTGTATTACCAAATAAAAAGAAGCATATAGTATTGCAAATTTTTAGATATATAAATAAAACATATACCTTCTTAACTGGAGGGAAGGAAGGAAGGAAGGAAGGAAGGAAGGAAGGAAGGAAGGAAGGAAGGAAGGAAGGAAAGAAAGAAAGAAAGAAAGAAAGAAAGAAAGAAAGAAAGAAAGAAAGAAAGAAAACCTTCCTTCGGAGTAAGGAACCTTCTCGGAGTAAGAGAGGATATTTTTCCTCCAAAAAGATATTCACTGGCTAGCTTTACATGAATTGCTATGGGCTATATTTAAACCAAACAATTTGACCAGATCAGTTCAATTATATTCCAGAGAAAATTGTGCTGGAGATCTGATAAAAAGGACTGCTATTAACGGATGCAAAAATTAGCTTGTGTGTAAGAGCGTTTTCTAAAAGTCTTATTTTGGGACCTTAATTATACTCAGTAGCTCTCTCAAAAGCACAGCTATCTCCTGGTAACTAAAAGGTTCTAGGGGTTTCTCAACCACTGCTTTTGCAGATCAAAAATCCAGTTTCAAGCACACATAATTCTATTTTTTTTCCTCAAATTGAAGGATTATCTCCTTCATTCATGCCAACAGTATGAAAGCAGAACATTTCACCAATATTCTGCCCCCAAACTTTAAAGTTCTCCATATTGCAATGTGGCTTGAGTTGTGTAAAACAAAAATAAAGAGGGCACACATTTCTATTAACAGTACCTGACAATGTTATACAAATATTTGCAACATATTATGCTGAGTTTTTCTGGCTAGTACTGTTAAATGGCTAAAAAATGTTATTTTGCAGGAGATGGGGCCTTATTCAGGTTCAGCTTTGTCCCCAAACTGAGCTACTGCATTTTAAAGAGAACTGCTTTCTTATTTATCTGTATACTTCTACATTTATACAAATCATATACAGTATAATGGATGAGTTTGCATAGTCATCTGAAATGACAAAGGAACTCATGAAAAATTACTATCAATTAGAAACAAAGGTCTTCTATGTTGTGGAATGCCAGGGTGTTCATTTGACCTTGACAAAAACAAGTAAATATATTTTTTGTTATGCCATACCTCTGATACTGATATCTGTTTATTGATAAGTATTGAGAATCCGGACACTCACTAACTATTTATTTATTTATTTATTTATGAATTGTTTTTATTGCATTGGTTTACTGCTTTTACCTTGTTTTTAATAACTTTTTAATTCAAATAACTGAGAAAATAAAACGAGTAAATTGCAGTGAAAATAAAGCAAATAAAGAAAGTAGCCAATTGGGTCCCAGATTTTGGACTGCAAATGAATCAAGCCCTATGTGAACAGAGAAGAAATTTTATTGGAAAAAAGGAAAATTTAAAAATAAATAAATAAATAAATAAATTTCATGAAGGAAAATTTAAAAATGATGGGAATTGGTGAAGGATTTAGAAAAGGTATTGACGCAATTTATCAAGAGCAAAATGCCAAACTTATAATAAATAACAATATATCGGAGGCCTTTGATATTGCCAAAGGGACTAGGCAAGGTTGTCCTTTATCCCCCTTGTTATTTATAACAGTGTTGGAAGTGTTTAATAAAAGGTTAAGGGAAACACCAGAAGTTAAAGGAATTAAGGTAGGAAGTAAGGAATTCAAAATAAAAGCATTTGCAGATGACTTGATATTAACATTGGAAGATCCTAAGAACA